TAGGTTGATATGAAACAATAAGGCAGTCAATACCATAGAAGGAGAAAAAAAACGTTTCGGACTTGCAGCACCAACTGGAGTTAATGTGGGTTATTACACCACCTCCGAACTTCTTTTTGCTTCTTGCACTGTCTAATCGAAAACTTGCAAAACCAGGTATGCTGATCAGCAAATCGTCCATGTTTTAGTTAAGCTACGATTCCTGTATGCATGTCACACGTGTTCGTGTGCAAGTGATGAGTTGGTAGATCAATGAGTTCAGCCAGTTTGCTAAACAGTGAGCGAATGTCGGAACTGATTAATGACGGAACCGTCATTAGAGGAGGAGGAGGAATATTTACAAGCGCAGTCTGCCACCCGGCACACTTTCGTTTCTTGCTCCGAGCAGAAAATTCGGTTCGGACAGAACCTCGAGTTGGATAACACGGAAGAATAATAAATATTTTTTAGAGGTAGTAATAATTCCCTGAGATACGAACTTTGAGAGAACATGACAGAAACCAAGTAATAAATTCCAATGCAACAATGAACACAAACGTAACGCAGCCAATCGAATGGCGCGCGGTTTTCTCCATCATGGTTTATAACGTGATGGAGAAATCTATTGATTGCGCAATAACTTGGGCTTATGTGCACATTAAAGCACTTGTGCAAGTTGAGAACTGACTCATCGGATCTACGTGCCTCTCGATCAAGTTGCCTCCCGGCTTCAGTTATGCGTCAAAAACTTATGTATGTTTCATCCGGTTTGGATATGGTGTTCCCACTAGACCTTTATTTAAGGAGCCGCACACCTTAAGGTCAAATTTTGAAGTTCTGGGGATAATGCGTGAGTCAAATATTTGCTCATTGTGTTTAAGCTGAATCTTTTAATTATTTGACTTATATGATGAGCAATGACTGAAAAGACAAGCTATTTAGGGTAAGCATATTTACCAAAATAAATACTGTCACGAAACAACAAACGTTTATTTGAAAGAATTAACTTTCCTTATACGTTGCATAAAATATTTCTCAAAAATGAGTTGTCACATTCGAATTACTACAAATATTACCGCAAAAATCAAGGTTGCGCAAATTTATACGCTGATAAAAGAGAGCTAAGAACAAAGGGTTGGGGGTTAAAAATCGGAATAAATATACTTCATTCATCTCCATCAATATACGAATATGGTATTGGACGCTTAGATGCATTTCGTAAATGAAAGACATGTTGCACGAGTTTCATTAGCACTCGTAGAGTATTTGTATCATGTGGCATTTTTTCTACATTCAAATTTACATAAATGCCACAAAATACTCAAAATGCACTTCTTCGCTGCTCAAACGTTCAAATAAGTATGATTGATTGGATCGGGGAACATCATTTGTAAAATCCAGTCGTGACTAGAAAAAATGCGTCTGCGGCAATTATTGCGCTGATTAAGAAGTTAATTATTTGCATAGCGCGGATCTAAACGTTTAGATTCGAAATTCGACGAAAAATTACCAAAACTAGTACGACAAAGTTGAGCGAAGAAGAAGCGCTCCAATCAAAACAACTGCATAACTCACTTTTTACCGCACCTTGTTAACAAAGTACGTGAATATGGTATCCCGCATCCGATTGTCAAATCGTACTTAAAGCGTATCGATCCAAACCTGCTGGGACGCAACACCTCATGCTTCACCGGCGAGAGGAATTCGTTTTTGCTCTGAAAGCCGCACACAAATGCGTACCGATCAGACGAAATGTCAGCACTTATCTGTTTTATCTCTGTATGAACACGACCATCGCGATTTTGCGGATCTTCGTTGACTGCCGCGAAGTTGTACACAGTCAAATGTTCCTCGTAAATCCAAGTATACTCTGTGAATTTATCGTATGGATCTACGAGAGCATGAATGTTGATCCACACGGAGTCATGTATACCGCTTACGGGAAATGTGGACCTCTCCAATCCGAGCATGTAGCCAATCAAACCTCCGGATTTGCACTGGACAAACAATGGTGATGAGCGTCACAATTCTCCATCCCTTTGTCGACGAAAATCGGATCGGTACTCTCGTAGCTTGCTGTCAATGAAGCTCAAATATGAACCAAGAAAAACGCAATCCACAATGGTACAAACAAGTTCCTGCTGGCCGATATCCGTCGTCCTAGAATGAACAGCGTGAACTGGCTATTCTGAATCGCAATTTGCCATGGGGGTTGAGGAAAGGCCCAATGTCACATCAGAGAGTGGTTGCGGGAACTTGCGTAAACAAAACAGTACGGTGACCAGTGAGAGCGGGGGTTAAAATATTTCATGTGGGGCTGTGTTATATGGAAACAAAAAGCAAATTCTCATGCGATTTGAATGAAGCTGGCCTTAGACAGAATGTTCAAGTCTGTTTTGAACCACTTTTTGCCACAAAACAGTGCAGGTGTCTTTCGTATTATGAGTTGCAAACACTAAATATTCCTTTATAAAATATCCCGTGTACTCGATATCTAACACATTCATTCATATAGTGGCGTCTGAGAAAACCCTTCCTGTGCAACGAGCGAAACCCATTCGTGGTAGTATCCAACTGTAACCCACTGTTTTGAGGTCATACCGCCCAATAGATTTCTGACCAGATAACAATGCATTTTATTTTCATTCAAAGAGAGTGGACAGAATTTGCGGAGGAAGTAGGGTGATTCCAAAGTAGGCAACAAAACGAACGTGATAAACGCCTATGTGAAGGCCATGAATACTGTTCTGGCATGGGGAAATGGAAATGACATCTTCCGTGAGACTGATGTAGTTATGTCTAAACAATGACCAGACTAAAACACCTCCGGTTTGACAATTGCGATTTCCGATCTACAACAATTATTCTTGATTCGTACAGAAATGGAAAAACAACGGAATAGAGATAATTGCTTCCAAAATGGCATGTCCACCGATTCATCCCATGCAGATGATGCAGTCATATTGCAATCGCGGTTCAAGCACTCATTTTTATTTTTTGTTGTGTACTGCCAGGGGCCAAACTGCAAATAAATGTGGATGATTTTCATCCCGGCCTGTCACTGGTTTTAATCTAACTATTTATTTGTTTCACTGAACAGAGGTAACTCGTTTTCAGACAGAATTCTAAAATATCACCCGGAAATCTTCTCCCTCCATCTGCATGCACCCCTCTCAACCAATGACCATTGTCTACTCCTTCTTAGGCCCAAGATATATTCCCTTTCTGCCTTTTATTCGTTTAGGCAAAGTAAACAAATCAAAATCCGTCTCTGTAACACATCACCTGAATGTGTTCATCTCTTCCAGATATCCCTATCCCATGCAGCTTCCTGGTTCTCTTTCGAAGTCTCAGTATACAACAATGTTAATTATTGTGTTGACACAATCAAGGAGACACATGAGACATATGGAAAGGATTTCGAATCCTATCTTGAGCGAGATTCAGAGCAAATAAATGTGCTGTTTACGTTGAGAATATCAATTGTGTATTTATTCATCCGAGTAGCGATCCTTCTGCCTCGCGTTTTCCGGAAGACGCTTCTGATATAACCCCGTTCCCGAGAAAAGAAATATTTTAACTCCTCCTCAGAACCAAATGATCCACCGGTATCAGTCCCGACGGTCTATCTTTGTCCCTCCATGCCCTCTATCTAACGGATTCTCTTACTTCCATCCTCAACGGATCAATGAGCGCGTGTTATATTCCTGATTACTGGAGACCCGTCATAATCACTCCTATTCTAACACCGTGTAAATCTAGAACCCTCTGCAAACGTTGCCGTCTCATTGCTCCAAAGTCATGCGGTCTCAAATTGGCGGAACGTGCCATTGTCAAACGCTTGTATGCTTCTTTTAGTATCCCCGAAAACCCTCTCCAGTTTGCAGGTAAATCAAGCAGGTCCACTTTGAATGTTGTCGCCTCCGTCCTTCATTATGCTAAGAAATCCTTAAAAGCATCTGCAAAATCTGTAAGATTTGTTTTCTTATATTTTCATCCGCGTTAAACTCAGTTCCACGCACCCTCCTCTTTCTTCAAATGGAATCATTTGGCCTTCCCAAGTTCCTACTGGCATGGCTCATTGATTACTTTACAAATAACACAGAGCGTACTCGCCTCGGGACGAAAATATCTAATCCGCTCGTGAAAAATTGGGGAGTGCTACAGGGTGTCGTGCTATCTCTGTTGCATTCCACCTATATCAGTGACCTGTGAGGGAGTTCTTCAGCCCAATTATATAATACTCTGACGACGTGGCCTTTGCCAAGCCATTTCTGTGCCTGAAAATCTTCTTAATTTCTCGAACTATCTGTGGCATATCCACAAATTTTCACTTCGTTCTCAACCTTCTTATAATTTATCCAAAAGCTTCGAATCCACCGTCAAGCGCTCTCGATCTATTTATCCTCTGGGGCTCTCGGTCACAAACACAGATACCTTAACTTGAGTAGCTTCCGTAAAGAATTAGGCAGTTACAATTGACACTAACTTAAAGTAGGCATCACGTATACACAACTCTGTACAGAAACGTCGTGGATTATTGTGAAGATCCAGGCTACGTGATAATGCCTACCCTGGAGCGGGGCGTTACAGTTTCTGCACATTTGCGATCAATCAAATTTGAAAGATGACCTCAATGACACACGTATGGCTTCTGACTCCACGTCATTGGTGGATGGCACCAGCCAATCCGAATTCCGTGCGTACTACTACTACTACCACTACAATCATTACAAATAGGCGTCGCGTGATGGAGCTTCCAAGGATTGCGCAACTGAACCTGCAGGCAAGCCCATCTGAGATCGATGGGTCGAACGATTTGAGCTGTATTCGCAAAGGTAAAACAGAATCAATTAGTTCTATTTCTTACTGCTGGCGGCCGTGACCTCTACTCCCTGTTGGGAATCCTGGCGTTCCCTGAGGCTCCAGCCAAACTACCATACGAAACCCTGAAATCGCTGCTTCTCAACCACCTACTGTCCACTAAATTCCAAGCACATGAAAGGGCCAAATTCAACTCCATGATTCGTGCCGATCATGGTTCCTGCCGTGAATTCATTCTGCAGCTGAACAAACAAGCATCACGCTGCAACTATGGTGATCGCCTGGAAGAACTAATGTGTGACCACTTGGTGGCAGGCATCAATAATCTGACTCTTCAACGAAAGTTGCCGGAGAAGAAAGATTTAAATTTTGCTAATGCCCGCAAGATCTGTGAGCCACACGACGACCTGATGAAAGCCACTTCCAGCGAATCAATCACATTATTCCAACGACAGAAGACACGACCGAACGGACCTCCAATGGCCAAGTGTATACTGAAGCCGCAGCAAGACTCTTCAGACAACGAGAAACGTATCAATCTCTGTTTATCATGTGGAACTTACCATCTGCGTTCCAATTGCCGCTTCCGAAATGTCAAGTGTCATGCATGTGGGATAGCAGGCCATATCCGGAGAGTGTCAACAACCCCATTGCAATCACGCACAGCCATCGGTCGACGACGGATCCAGCCCTGTGCTTTCTCTAAGAACCCAAAGTCAACGTGAACAGTATCTATACCAAGATGTGACATTCCAGTCGGGCACGAAGCATAAATTCATTGTGGATACCGGAAGTACGGAATTTATCATTTCAACTGAAGAACCGCTATCTATCTATCTATCTATCTATCTATCTATCTATCTATCTATCTATCTATCTATCTAGTATCTATCTATCTATCTATCTATCTATCTATCTATCTATCTATCTATCTATCTATCTATATATCCGGAAACACAAGTTCATCAAACTACTGTGCAAACTGTTGGCATTACTGGTCACAAACTCCGATTGGTGGGGGAAGTGTCGCTATTGGTTCGATCAGCGAAAAATTGCTTCATCCCAATTCGACTTATGGTCGCTGAGAGAATTGATTCCATGCACACAATCCTCCAAACTGAGAATTGTTGGTCGCCGACAGTTACGCACAATATCACATCGATCCAGCCAAGAATGTGACGGGAACAGTGAAAAGTGTTATTTCATCGGCAAGCCAGAAAACGGTGTCACAATTTCAAGAACTGCTGAAGAATGTCCTAACAAAGTGCGAGTGTCGTGCACCACAACGTAAAAGAAAAATCGATGAAAACATGCAAACCACGAAAATTGTGAACACCAGTGCGATGTTTTAAGTCGGCGTACGATTCAGCCGATCAGCGACAAAGAATACACCAAATGTTTTCGAACGACTCTACAAGTTCGAACGATGAAGTCACTGAAACCGCATCCTCAACGACAGAATTTAGAAAGCAGTAATCCGGTGAGCTGGAAGTGCGTAACGGCGAGAGTACCACACCTGACCTACGAAACTCAATCCCGGGAAGAGTTCAAGTCGACGAAGTTCTTTTGGGGAGGGAGAGTTGTGGTGATCCAGGCTACGTGATGACGCCTACTCTGGAGCGGCACGTTACAGTTTCAGGACATTGGTGATCAATCAATTTTGAAAGATGACCTCAATGACACACGTATGCCTTCAGACTCCATGTCATTGGTGGATGATGCCAGCCAATCCGAGACAGTGCAGCCAGAAGCAGAATTATGCAAGCAGTATTGCAATCCGATTGTTGAAGCCTAGATAACCAATAATTTTTTGTACAAATATTTGAATCGCCTTCATTTTTTCCAATAAACTGACTACCTACTACTATTTCTATGGCCTTTTCCTCGCGTCTCGTCCACATGGGGGATACTGCTAACTCGTACCATTGCGGGCCAGTGCTTCCCTAATCCAGTCCGTGATAGCTCATCTTTGATTCGTGTTCTGTGATTCCTACTGCGTGGTTCGTGTTCCGAATTCCGTGCGTACTACTGCTACCTGCACTACAGTCATAACAAGTATATTTTCCACTGCGAGGATGTAAGCAGTGCAAGCCCAAATAAAATATCATTTCTCTTGTGTTTTCCCGCGTTTTTCTCGCGGTGGTTCGCTAATTAACAACCTACAAGTTCTTCGTCGGGGTTTGTTGATCATCAGTCGTACGTCTTTCACACCCATTGATGATCGGGGTAAACAACTTTGTGCCCTTCAGTTTTCCTAATGTGGAAAATTTTCACAGGAAATCCTCTCAAACCCCACTCGTATTTACATATCTATCTATCTAATTGCTGCTTCATACATCTACGAGTTTTGCATGCCAATTGTTACGCTCCCGCATCAACCTCTACAGATATTTTCCTGTTCCCTACCTCGCCAGAATCCTCGTAAAATGACGGAGGGATTCTTATGAGCTTCTTAACCCCGTGGATGTTAAACTTTTCATCTGCATTATTCATTCTTTTGATGAGATATACGATATTTTGGAGTGAAATGCGAATATCTGTTCACGCGAAAATGTAAACAAATACAATACAATACAAACACCGTACAACCCGGTATGCTTTGTACCAACCAACCACAGGGCAAGTATGCTTTAGCCGCAAAAAGCAAACATTCGATAGTTGAATAACTAATTTAACAAAAATGTCAACCGGTTTTGCTAGTGACCCGTTTATCCAAGTATCACCGTTTGTGTAGGATCACCATTGACAAACTGTGTTCGTCGATTTCACCATGCACATGCCTAAACACAATGCAGTATTATCTTATCAAAATCTTCCAAGAAATTGTCAAAGTAAACGTTTGTACCTTCATGTGTTTGCAATGTCTTTCTTCTCAGTCGTTCAAACAAGACTTGCCGAATCCGGGAATTGCATATATTTAAAGCTGAGAATAAATTCCTCATTCTGTGAATGTTTTAAAGCCTTGTCCGTGTAATTGCAACTGAGAAGGGTACGCTAGTCCTTGAGTGGTCATCCATGAACCTACATGACTGAGTCTTCAGACCAGGGGTTTCGTACGCTCATTCCAAGTTTTAGTTTGACTAACATTGCATTTTTTCTATCGATCACCTGGGTCCGCAAGCCTTTTTGTTGAAATGCTCCACATGCTCCAACCAACGTTATACCTGGAATTAGGGCATTTGCTTCAGTGGTAGAACGCGATAGTTCAGAGCTCTCCGCATAATTGGCGAGCCATTCGAATGGCTGAGCTACGTTGCCTCCCTCTCAGATATATTTCATTTTTGGTGAAAGCTATGTAATAACCGCCCGGAAGATCAATTCGCGGTTTTATTTAGTGAGTTGGTAGTATATTTTGCTCAAGACTGTCTTATATGTCTTCATTGGCTCATTTTCGAATTCCTACATAAATGAGGTGTTAGATGCGCGGCCCCTGGTGAAAAACGCTTATTCACAGAATCCCATCGAAAATGACTGTGCGCTAATTGGTTAGTACGAAAATTAGATCATATTTCGCAAAGATAACAAGCACCCTCGATTACCGCATCAACCGCAACAAGTTTGTATTCGTTTGTATTCAAGAATTCGGGTAAGATCGAAATGTCAAGGACGTGTTCGTTGAAATCAATGGCTTCAAATGCTTCTGTAAGGACAGAAAGCACCGTAAGAAGAAAACAGGTGCAGTGATTACGTACACTAACTCAACTGGGAGCCGCCAGCCTGAAGTTTGTTGTGCTTATTCCGATTGTGGCATAGACTATAAAGCTATTTAATGTTCGCTAAGCCTATCTAGATATAGAAGCACAAGCAATACCAATTTATACACAGACCCCTTTTGTACCTAGTCTCAAATATCATCCATCTTTGATACATTTATTCCGTCTTTGATTCCTCTCATAGACGTCAATCTTCACATATTGTTATTGATTTTATTCATGCATCCACTTATCCCATAACCTCTTTTGCCTTAACTGATATATCATTATCCCTGGCAAGAGGTGATCCACTTTCAAGACGATGTATTTAAGAAAACACTAAGAACATTTTGCTCCTATATACTAAAGATGCACAGTTCTGTTTTAACGGAGATTATTATCGTCAAGTTGAAGGAGTTGCAATGGGTATTCCACTGAGACCGGTGATGGCCGATACCTTCAAGAGAAATCTGGAGAATACAAAACTAAAACAATGCCCAAAGAGCACACACTTCTAAGGCCATTAGGTGGATGACAGATTTGTGATACTGAATGATAGCACAAAAGCACAAGTAATGCTTCGAAAACTTAACCGTTCATATCCGAATAGTGAATTCACGGTGAAGCACGAATCCAAATCATCCCTCCAGGTTCTGGATGATAAATTCACGAGCAAAGAGCACCCATCTGTGATGATCCAGGCCTACACGATGACGCCTACCCTGGAGCGGCGCGTTACAGTTTCAGGTCATTGGCGATCGATCAAGTTTGAAT